ATTCTGCTGCCTAAGCTGAAAGAGCTTAACAAACAACAAAGAAAACCTGAGCAAGAATCAGTTCAACACTGAAACTTCCATATTGTGGCCCCAAAAGCACTGCTCAGAATTCCAAGGTATCTTCCAAAGGTTGACACAAAGTGATAAGAAGCACTTTGGGTTGATCAGAGCATACAGAGCAGACAATGTACAGACATTTCTATACAACTGGGGAAACTCAGATCCCAAGTAGAATATACAAGAAACATAGTCACAAAGAAAGCCTGACGTTTCAATTATACTAAGAGGGTCCTAAAGTCAGTAACACAGAAAGAATGATAGTATTCAGGGGCAATCTAATCATACATTAAATGCTTAAATATTTTAAGGGAAACTGTGAGTCATTAGGCAAAACCGGGATTGAAGTATTTTTCTCTGTGTCCTTGTTATTTTGGAGACCAATGGATATTAAGCACCTCTTTGTCAGATGGGTAGTATTCCCTATGGAGGTAGTAAAATAACTTATTTGCGCACTCAGATATGCTAAGTTTTATTTTATTATTATTATTATTCTTTTGAGACAGAGTCTCACTATGTCACCCTTGGTAGAGTGCCATGGCATCATAGCTCATAGCAACCTCCAACTCTTGGGCTTAAGCGATTCTCTTGCCTCAGCCTCTCAAGGAGCTGGGACTCCAGGCACCCCCCACAACACCCAGCTATTTTGTTGTTGTTGTTGTTGTTGTTGTTGCAGTTGTCATTGTTTTTTAGGGGCCTGGGCAGGGTTTGAAGCTGCCACCCTCAATGTATGTGGCTGATGCCGTAACCCATGTGCTATGGGTGCCAAACCCTAAATTATTTTGAATAATGGTAACTTAAAACTTTTTTGAAATAATTTCAATATAGACTTGTTTATGGGGTTTCTATCTGGATTTCTGGTTCAAACCCACAGAACTCCTTCTCTGGCTGGAGTATATAAAATAATCTATTAGAGGGCCATGTGGACAGGTTCACCGGCAGGATGGGTCTCCTCAGTCTGGGTCAAGCCTTCCTGCCCACCAGCCTCTGTCTCTTGTGGGGAGAAGCTGCTCTCTGGATTTTCACCTAGTGGGAACTTGCTTGGTCCTGATCAATTCTAGTAAACTGAGGTGCACTACTTATTAAATCCCAAAGGCTAAAAGTTTCTTAGATGTTTTTGTAAAAATCAATAAAAATTCTTTCTTGAATTTTTACTGGGAGAATAGGGAGAGGGATGAGGATCACTTCCTGGCACATTCTCATTTCTTTTTTGAAAATAAATATTTTCTGGACGAACTTTAGCACTTCCACCATATTTTTATAGAGGTTATTATATTAATAGGAATGGAAGATTCTGCAAAAATATTTTTAAAGTAACAATAGGAAAGATCTAAAAGAAAGTTTGTGGCCTTCTCAAACAAAGATTACCTTTTTTGCTTCTGTTGATTTATCAATAATAGATCTGATATTGCCACCAACTGCACAGTGCACACCAGTACCCAGATCACGCATAAATTCTGCAGACTTCTACTCCCTTGTGCTTGAAAACAAATAAACGAGGCAATGAGCTACGGAACTGATATCTAATGACACATTGAAAGACATGACTGTAGGTAATTGTCACTTATCTGGTATTTAATCTCCAGAATACCTGAGTTTCCAGAATGGTTCCACAATAAAAGTTATCCAGAAAAAAATATATTCTTTAGTTAGGAGTCAGCCCCACTAAGTGCATCAAAGAGCAGGTTAGCCACAGGTGGTGCCTGATGGACTGTCACGATTGGCTGGATCAGTTATAGAAGAGGAAAGTGCTATTTTAATTGCCCAGCTACACATTTACGAGCTCCGTGCATCCATCCTAGTGTTGACAGGCCTGGGGAGGAGACAGCAGGCAAGAAAGGAGAACACCACAGAGATGAAGCCTAAAGATAATGCAGAGTGGGATCAGAGCGGATTAAAAGTGGTGTTAGTGGCAGTCGTCATCAGAAATTAAAAGCAACAATGGAGTTTGATGGAGGCCTCTGAGAAAAGGAGAGAGGCATCAGAAAGCCCTGAGCTTGTGACAGATGAAAAGTAAAGAGACAATGAGAAACCCAGGTAGCCCTGAACATGCCAAGCAGAAGTCCTGGGATGGGGAAGGAGGAGTCATTTCACCAACAAACTCTTCCAATAGCTCTACATTTTTAGGAACCAGGAATGCAAAACTGAATAATTCATGCCCCTGTTCCAAGAGGAGATAGATTAAAGCCATAACATCCCAGGAACCACCTCTCCTATATCTGCATCTTGCTCATTCCAAGTTAGCAGCGCCAGGCAAGGTGCTTTGGAAAGCTCTTCAAGAAAGAAAAAATCCAAAAGCACCTGGTCCCTAAACTGTTAACCATGTATAACAGAATGATGCAGTCTCTACGGACACTGGGTGGCTATGTTCTTCTCTACTGGGTAATAATAAAAGCATGAGAACTTCCAGGCATGGTGATCAAATTGAACCCACTTGTTTAAATAGCTAGAAAGTTCTCGATGCAGAATCTTAGTGGATATAAAAGATAAAGCCAAAAACCAAAAATAAGCAAACGCAGCGAACCGATGTGTAAGTAGAAAACTTGGTTCCTGGCTCGGCGCCTATAGCTCAACCGGCTAAGGCGCCAGCCACGTACACCTAAGGTGGCGGG